AGAACATTTTGCTATCATATTTCCAAGTAATAATATTATACATATAATTATTCGTATGTTTAATAAGTCGACAAACATTTTATTATCTCTATTACAATTTTTGATTTCTCTTTATTCAAATTACGTTGAATAATAAAATTAAAAGTGAAGAAAGAGTTTATAAAAATCAATTATAAGTTATGAAAAAAAACGTCCTTTATACTATTTAATTTTTAAATCGAAAGTTTTTTAACATTTATTACAGCATGAGCTCGAAACAACATTGATTATGTTTGATAGTTTAATAAAATAGAGTTCGAACAAACTAATATTTTTCAATGAATTATTTTTGGAAGAAAATATTCAATGAATTCTCACCTTTGATTTCATAATTCAATACGCTGCCATTAAAAAACTGCGATCTTTGAGTAATATAATAAAAATATACATATTTGTATGTATACATAAATTGAACAAAAATTTATATTGTTCCTTATACTTTTTTTAAACTACCACAATTAAGTTAACTAACTTAATCTTTTTTACGTTTAGTTACTTGTTATTATTTTGACATTTATATAATAATCGTTATAATTTTAACAGAATCAATTCTCAAGTCTTACTCCATCACAATTGATGCTAGTACTTATAACAAGGTAATTTTCATTCCTTAGCTGTGTTGAAATTTCTCTGATTTCGTTGTTTGTTATGTAAGGTGGTAGCAGAATGTACGCATATTTAGGTCCAAAACCTGTCAGCTTTGCCGAGTATCCCATATTTTGTGCAATTTCTAAAATACGATTAAATGCCTCATTGGACAAACCACGGCTTCTCAATAATACTTGAATTTCTTTAATGCAACACTGCAAAACATGAAACATTTTGGGAAACTGTACATATTCGAACAGACAATTATATATTGGACAATCTTGTCAACACAGAAAAACTAATGAATATATATATACATATATATATTTATGTGTGTGTGTGTGTGTGTGTATTATGCAGGATTCGGAAAATCGTTCTCAATACACCTCTGAAGCTGATTCGGGACCCAAAAAGTAGAAAAAAGTTATAACATAGGTCCGGAAATAAGTTGTTTTCGAGTAAGCCGCTTTTATGTTAAAAAAGTCATAATTTATAGTCTGTTTAGCACCTATTTTCTTAATTGTTTTTAAATTTAAATTCTTTATTTTATAAAGATAATATAATTGTATTTACAAGTACATCAAAAAATAGAAAAAAATAAAACAATTAGAATAAAAAAAATTAAAACAATTAAAATTAAAAAGAAATTAAAAAATAAAATTTTAAAATTATAATAAACGAAATCAGAAAAATTGAAAATTACATAAATATAACAAATAAATATTTAAAAAATAAAAATTTGAAATATCTTAAAAATTAAGAAAGGGGTGCCAAACGGACTATAAATACGATTTTTTTATCATAAAAGTATAATTATAACTTGGAAATGACTTATTTCCGAACCTATGTTTAACTTTTTTCTTTTTTTTAGATTCCAAATCGCCTCCCGATGTATTGCGCGCAATTTTCCGAAGACCCTTATATATAATATAATTATAACAAAATTAGAAAAACGAAAAAAAGTACCTGCAAATTTTCATAATAAAATTCTTGCTCAGTTAAAATGGCATTCCAAATATTAATACTTAGTAAATTGAGCCAATTATACATTTTTATTGATAAATCATTTAATTCATTTAAAATGTTATCAAACGTGAAAAGACATTCAGATCTCAGCTGTCTCATTTTTGTTGCTTGATCGCACTTTTCCTGGCGAATACCTGAATCAATTAGTAGAATCTTCAATCTTGCCATCTCTTCCCAATCCTCAACAGAGTACTCTACGTCATCGGTAAGTAGACTCTTTGTTGCAAAACCGAATACACAAACGTCGGTATCGATCTGCGTACATTGATAGTCTTGCATACGTTCCTCGCAATCTTTAACGTACACTCCAACATTCATCAAAAAGTCTATGCGATTAAATTCAATATTTTCATGATAATCACTCTGTAAACGACACCAATGAAGAAAACACGCAGCCAGACACACAGCAAATGATGTCGAACTGCCAAGACCAGCATCGAGCGGTATATTCGTGGTCACGTGCACGTGAAAAGATGTGATGTCAAGATTCTCATAGACAGCAATACTATAAAGCAAATAAAAAAACATTTGTAAACTAAATCTCTGCGCAAACGTACGCCACATGCCGTTGAAGGTAATAAAGGATGTCACGTATATAATCCTTAAGTTTGGATTTAATTGGTTCTCTTCTAAAAGGAAACCTCGAACTTCTTCTAAAGGTACTGTAATCTGTAGATTGACATCTGGAAATTCTATTTCAACTGGCCACCCTCTAGGTAATTCACGGAACGTGAGTTTGGTACGACGGTCTAAACTGGTCAAGACAAAGTGTTTTTGATACATTGCTGAATGCTCTCCCGCTAAGACGATTCGGCCCGGTGCGGAAATTTTGAAACTAGCCATCCTTTTTATTTGTTTATAATAAAAATAACTTCTTAGTCACCGAACTGTGATGTAATATTGAACAATAGAGAATTTATGATTAAGAAGGTACAAGAATTCCGCTAATAAAAATTTGAAACGTTCGTATCGCACATAAGACAGTGTTTATATTTCCCGTGTGTACACTTTCGTGTCTCATTCGTGACTGATTTCGTCTCGAAACATATAATACCATTACCTGGCAGTTACGATTTTAAATGTGAACTACAATGTCAAATTGTTTCGATATTGTGGGGCAGTGGTTCTTAACGGATGTTCCGTAAAATTATGAAAATGCGGAGTACGTACCTAAAATAAATTACTATAATTTTTTTTAATTTTATGAATATTATTTTTTTAAAATTAAATTTGTATGATTTTATTTCGCAAATTTTTCTTATAATTATAAGTCAAAAGTGTTCCGTAACTTCAAAAAGGTTAAGAACCACTGTTTTAGGAAGAAATGGGTATGGAATAAATGAGTATGCCTATACGTAATCCAAAAATAATATATTATTTTTAATATGATAAAATAAACGTTTTCTTATATTGTCGTGGATACATTTCAAATAATGTCAAATAATATTGATGCTATATTTGAAATATATATGTAAAGTATGTATATTTAACTAACTTATATAAGTTAGTTAAGTTAGTTATATAAGTTAGTTAGTTTATAAATTACTTACATTATATATGCATAATGCTTATAAAAAATTAGAAAATGATAAAATATATCAATTAAAATTAGCAATCAGAGAAGTTGTCATGTGATTTGCATTTTCTAATTTGCTTTGACACAATGTATAGGATGTTTACATGGTACAATTTTGTAATATATTATATATTATAATTACAAACTATATTTTCTAGTCGAGATATGCGTATAATTGAGATATAATATAAAATACAGTACTGTATAAATGTAAAATTATATTGTTTAATAAATTATATAATTTTGATGAAACATGAATATATCATAATCATTGTTATTTATATAGATCTCATTTATGTTAGCCTATTTCGACATAATAATTATAACTTAAAGTATTGCGAACTTTGACTTGAGAGTATTGAAATATATTTCATTTCTATATCTTAATTATTTTATAAAGAAATAAATCTTAAGTATATATAATACTGGAGATATAAAAAAGAAATATAAATATCATTTTCATTCTGATAATTTTCAGCTACTGTGCAAATCCAATTGAAATAATTGTCGTAATAAATTTTTTGCATCATAAAAATATAATCATATAAAGTATAAACATTCACACTTATAAGCAATCATATTTATTTAAATATTCGCGGAAATGGAAATTTTACTATCATTTTTTTAGGTAATAATATTAAATAATAATTTATATGTTAAAGCACAACAAATACTTTATTATCTGTATTACGATTTTTGCTTTTTCTTCATTCAAATTGCATTGAATAATGAAACTAATTACGTTAATAATAAAATTAAAAGTGAAAAATATGTAAAGTTTCAAGAGTTTTCAAGAGTTTATGAAAATGAATTCATCTTTTCACATTCTACTAGTTTTTCTTAAATATTAGGAAATATATCAAAAAAATATTATTCTTTATTACCTTGAATAATATATTATATAATATTTTTTTATTTATTTTTTATATTTCCAAAAAAGTAGAACGTGTGTAATAAACGACAGTTATACGCCATGTTTCAGAATTCGTGTTTATAAATTATATAGCATTGAATAATAAAAACTGAATATTTTGAAATATTGTTTCCGGTTGCTTTTTTAACAAAGAAAAAATTAATAAACAAAAATTATATTCACCAGCTCCTTTTTTACATAGACATATACTAAAGAAAAAATTTATTTAATTCTTATAAATATTTATTTCAATATTGTCAAATAAATCATTTATTAGAAACCAATGATATTTATTTGATTTATTTGTTTCAAGTAAATGATTCATTTAGCAGTATTGTACTAAATATGTATTAATGTAGTCATTTTTTTTCAGTGTACCTACATCTGTAAAAAATGCACCAGCCCCAACAGCACACATTCCGAAAACGTTCAGAGAACATCCTGAGGATGTTTGATAGTCTTCAGGATATCTCTAAATAATATCTGAATATCTTTCACATATGTTGTGCTATTAGGGAGATAGTTTGTGCACGGAAACAATTAAGTTCGTAGTTAACAGATATATATATATATATATATATATATATATATATATATATGTCCATTTAACGAACAATGTTGATGAAATAAATTTTATTTTATAATTTTCTTTTAAGCTTCGCACAAAATATCATTCAAAATTGTTCGACCTATTTTTTATTCTTAAATTGCACTATATAATTATTATATTATAATATAAAAATAAATATAATTTCAATAATATAATGCAATATAAATTATAAAAAGAACATCCTTTATACTAACTAATTTATAAATAAAAAATCTTCTAATATTTATTACAACACATGATTCTGACGCAACAATGCTTATATATTTAATATTTATTAAGATAGATTACAAAAAAACCAATATTTTTTGACTATTTTTGGAAGAAAATATTCAATGATTTCTCACTTTTGATTTTATAATTCAATACGCTGCCATGTTAACAAACCGCAATCTTTGAGTAATAAAATATATACATAAATTGAACTAAAATGTATATTGTCATATTTTCCTTAAACTAACACAGTTAAGTTAATTATTTTAACTTTTTTTCACGTTTAGTTATTTGTTATTATTTAGTCATTTATACATATAATAATCGCGTCAATTTTAACCGAATCAATCATCAAGTTTTACTCCATCACAATTGATTATTTATAACAAGGTAATTCTCATTCCTTAGCTGTGTCGAGATTTTCCTGATTTCGTCGTTTGTAATGTGCGGTGGTAGCACAATATACGCATATTTAGGTCCAAAATCTGTAAGTTTTGCCGCGTATTCAATATCATCTGCGACTGCGGAAATAACGATTGAATGCCTCATCGGACAAACATTGGCTCCATAATAATAGTTGAATCTTTCTAATATAACACTGCAAAACATTATAGAAAATTTTACATAATGTTACAGATAATTATATCCCGCATAATCTTCTTAAAGCACAAAAGATATTGAATATATATATATATATATATATATATATATATATATAAACAATACAATTATATCATTGTTAGAAGAAAATAGTACCTGTAATTTTTTATAATGAAATTCTTGCACAGTTGAATTGGCATTTCGAACACTAAAACTTAGTGAGTGGAACCAATGATACATTTTTATTACATATCTATGTAATGTACGGATTGTATTATCAAACATAAGAGGAAATTGAGATTTCAGCTGTGTCATTTGTCTTGCTTGATCGTACTTTTTCTGGCGAATACCTGAATCGATCAGAAGAATCTTCATTCCGGTCATCTTTGTGAATTCCTCATGAGTGTACTTTACATAATCAATAAGTAGACTATATGCTGCAAAGCCAAATACACAAACGTCGGTATCGATCTGCGTACATTGATAGTCTTGCATACGTTCCTCGCAATCTTTAACGTAAATTCCAACATTTATCAAAAAATCAATGTTACCAAATTCAATATTTTCACGATGATCACTCTGTAAACGATACCAATGAAGAAAACACGCAGTCAGACACACAGCCAACGATGTCGAACTGCCAAGACCAGCATCGAGCGGTATATTCGAGGTTACATGCACGTGAAAAGATCTTATGTCAAGTTCTTCCTGAACAGCTATATTATAAAGCAAGCAAAAAAACATTTGTAAACTAAATCTCTGCTGAAATGTACGCCACATGCCGTTGAAGTTAATAAAGGATTTCACATATTTAATCCTAAAGTTTGGATTTAATTGGTTCTCTTGCTCTTCAGAAAGGTAGCCACAAACTTCTTCTAAAGGTACTTTAATCTGTAGATTCACATCTGGGAATTCTATCTCAATTGGCCACCCTTGTGGTAATTCACGGAATGTGAGTTTGGTACGACGATCTAAGCTAGTCGAGACACAGTGTTTTTGATACATCGCCGAGTATTCTCCGGCTAAGACGATTCGGCCCGGTGCGGAAATTTTAAAACTAGCCATCCTTTTTATTCATTTACAGTAAAAATAACTCTTTATTTATCTACAATAAAAATAGCTTCTTATATCGGAATTGTGATGTTGAACGTTGAGAACAGTAAAGAGTTTATAATTAAGAAGGTACAAGAATTCCACTTATTAGAATTTGAAACGTTCGTATTGCCCATAAGACAGTGTTTATTTTTCCCGTGTGTATACGCACTTTCGCGTTCCATTCGTGACTGATTTCGTCTCGAAACGTATAATAACATTACCCTGCTGTCATTTAATTGTGAATTACAATGTCAAACTTTTTCGATATTTTTGAGCAATCCCAGCAAACACAGTATATAAATGTTATATACTCAAGCATGTTACATGTAACGTATATGTTAGTTGTAATTTCCTACTCATAGATGTAACATTTTTAATATTACATATATTACATTGTAGTCATATTGTCATTATATTCCAAGATAGCACTGACTTATCAATACATCAATGTGCTATTTGGTATATAATTACAATATAACTACAATGTAATATATGTTATATTGAAATGTTACATCTGTGAATGGGAAATTACAACTAACATGGATGTTACATGTAACGTACACGTTATATTATTTGTTATATTCCGTTTTATTATAGCAATGTAACAATTATATATCGGTGTTTGCTGAGATGGTTCTTAATCGGTGTTCCGCAGAATTATGAAAGCATGGCATACCTACCTACCTAGAAAGAAACAACTATATTTTTTTTTAAATTTTATGAATATTATTTTTTAAAAGTTATATTTGAACAATTTTGTTCCGCAAATTTTTCTTATAATCAAAAGTCAAAATTGTTTCGTAATTTTAAAAAGGTTAAGAACCACTGTTTTATAGGGAGAAGTTGTTAGAACATACATGTGTATGTCCATACATAATTCAAAAATAATATATTATTTTCAATATAAACTAATCGTTTCTTTCTTGTCGTAGACATATTTCAAATAATGTCAAATTATATTGATGTTATATTTAAAAAATATGTATATGTTTATCGCATAATACACTTTTAAAAATTTAGAAAATAATAAAATATATTAATTCAAATGAACAATTAGACAGGTTATCATTATTTTATTTGCTTTGACACAATACTTAAATTCTATTTATATGTCACAATTTCTCGTAATACATTATATTTTATAATAACAAAATATACTTTCCTATTGATACATGATTGAGATATATAACGTAAAATTTATAACGTGTAAAATTATATTGTTTAATATAAATTAAATTATATTATTTTGACATAAAACATGAATGTAGCGTAATTTGTGTTATTGTACAGTTATTTTCTTAATTATGGCAGTCTATTTCGTCATAATTAATAATATATAAAACTCATTGTATAGCGAACTTTGGCTCGAGAGTATTGAAATGGAAATAGAAATACCTACATTTTAGTTCTATTTTAAAGTATAAAATATTTTGTAAACTTTTTGTACCATGTATTACAAAAAATCGATTTATATACAAATTTAGAGTCGTTTTATTTAAAAAAAAGGTCGAACTTTTAAAACTTCTTACAAACGGCCTAAAAGCAATTCTAGGTCATGATATTGTCTCATTCAAAACTCTATTTTTAGCTGATATATTTTTTCCAAATATTTATTTGTTAAGATTAAAATAAATTTAAAGAAACGTATTTGAAGAAACACAACTTTGCAGTAATGTTATTATACAGGGTGTATGAAATAAGGCGTTATTAATTTTTATCTCTAAAAATATTTTGTTTTTAGATAAAAATGTTTTAAATAAAAGTTGTTGGATTTGCTTGTTGGATTGCAGTTTGTTAAAATACATGAAATATCCTTGAGCATTTTAATTAAATGATGTGCGTACATTCAAGTAGAGATTTAGCTTACAAATATTCTTGTTTTTGCTTTATTCTATCATTTACAATGGAGGATTTCGAGATAAAATATTTTATGGTTTTGTAAGGTTATGCAAGACTCTGCGTTTTCATCGGTCGATAACATTGTTTGCATATATAGGTAAAATAAGAAAATATCAACGTAACAATCGCATAGGATATAATTGGTGCTTATAGAATTCTTATAGAATGTAGAACAAAGATAGAATGACGCTTGTGTTGTTTTGTGTTGCTAAATGGAAAGCACCAAATATATAGAGACCATAAATATGACCTGATGGCCTATCTACACCTAAGGATAATTCTACTTGTGGCTTTTATTTTAGTGAGTAGTATATAGACGTTCAAAAACCATACTGAAGTTGTTGGTCTTTAATCGTAAATTTTTTCGATTGGTATGATTCAAACAATTAAAAGTCTCAAGTAGGATTATTAATTCTTATAGGTGTAGACAAGAGCGACAATAAAGATTCTACTGATCGATTCGAATATTCGTCAGATATAAGAAGTAAGACAGAGGTCGACACCTCCTCAGCTAACCATTTCTGCAAAAGCAAATGTAGGTAACAATTTATTTATTTGTTAAATGATCGCAGATAAGAAATATATTTTGTCATGCAAACACTGTGAGCATAATTTCAGTAAATATTTCCCAACATCAGTTTGCAGACTATATTGACAAAGTGACAATGATGAGTAACAGATCTGTCAAAATGGTTGATAAAAGATTGATGCCAGAAACGCAACAGATCCTGCAGATCTGTCGAAACGTTAAATTGACAACAAAAAGCACACAGATGTGTCAAAAGTAATAATAAAAAAATTATTAAAAGTAATAATAAAAAAAGATTATATAGGTACGTTTTTTTCAAAATATGATTTGACTAACAAAGATATAATAGATTATTTTTATTTTTTTTCAATTATTATGAATTATTAAATGTTTTTTTTATTTGCTTTTTTCTTTTTTTTTTTTAACTATTTTTCTTCGATCTCCTGAGCATTTGGCGCAAATCTGTTTTCAGTTTGCGATTAACAAATCTGTTCTCAGTTTGTTGCGTCATCGCATTATTATAGTCGCATAGTTAGAAATATACCTATTTTATTTCTTTTTCTTAATTATTTTATAAATAGATAAATCTTTAATACACATAAAACTGAAGATATAAACAAGAAAGAAATAGAAATAAATAATATCCTTTTTATTTAGACAATCTCTAGCTATTGTACAAATTCAATTGAAATAATTGTTGTAATTAATTTTTACATCGTAAAAATAGTCATATAAGCATTCACACATAAGCACATATATTCATATTTATTTAAGTATTTACTGAAAAAATTTTTTAATATCTAACCAAGTAATAATATTATACAATAATTAGTATGTTAAATCAACAAATACTTCATTATATGTTATAATTTTTGTTTTTTCTTTATTGAAATTATGTGAAATAATGAAATTAAAAGTGAAAAACATATAAAAAAACGTGTTTTTATAAGAGTTTTTATGAAAATTTATTATTTCTTTTTATATCAAAATAAATTAATTTTTTTATATCAGTTTTTTTAATAGCATTAAAATCTATCAAAAATATTTTTTAAGTATTAGATGTTCTAACGACGTTTCAATGTTATTTAGAAACTGTTTTGAAACTTTGAAACGTTTCTACAACATTTCTGTCGAATTTTGTGTTGTATGGGATCAAAGTTCAAATTCAATACCGCGGTGTCTTGGTTCGATTACCTTAAGAGTCTGCTGCATTAAAAGAAATAAGACAGAGGTAGACACCTTGTTTGAATCTCTCAATTATTTAGGTATTTTAAATAATAAATAAATAAAAAATAAACAAACAAACAAATAAATAAATAAATAAATAATCAATAAATTTACTTTAAAAAATATTAATAAAAAAATTATCAATGACAATTTCGAATGAAGCATCCACATAAAAAATCGTAGCAATCGATGAACTATCTACATCAAAAATCGTACCAATCGATGAACCATCTACATCGAAAATTGTGCCAATTAAAAAATTATCCACATCGAAAATAGTGCCAATAATGAACTATCCATATCAAAAATCGTGCAAATCAATGAACCATCGAATCTATATCTACAATCACTATTGACATAATAACCCCTATATCTATAAATCAGTTCAATGATATATTGTTTTTCGATTCAGAAATGGACATTTCATTTTTGAATAATGGTAAAAATAATAGTAACAAAAAAATGATAATAATGGTAAAAGTTTGTAAAAATTAAAATGTTGAAAATATGCAAATATACAAATACGTGTATGATAACTAATTGAATATTTTATAATAAATTCATCATTTTTTGTATATCAAGTTTGGACAGATAAAGAATTACAACTGAAAACACAAAACTCAAAACATAGAGACAAAATAACTAAGATATCATCTGAATATGTTAAAATAATGAAGGCCATTGAAGGAATAAATTCGGTGCTCAAACAAGTTTTAGAAAATCAAAATAAAATGATGAATTTGTGGGAAGCGTCAGGCAGCCTTAAAAATAAGCCTCGAACCTTTTACGAAAAATATAAATTAAATATATCCCTTAAAACAGTAGAGGAGTTTATAAATTTCAATGAATTATTGCAAAGCAATAGTGATTGTTTGCGTGATTTTGTAAGTATATAAATGTAAATTAATTGGTTCTCTATATTAATACTTGAAACTTTCGCAGTGTACTTGAACATTAACATTGATTTCGGGTTTTTTGAACCGCGTAGACATTTTGACTGAAGTATCAGATTTCTCCCTGATGAAGTGAGCTGAAATGTTCACAATACGTCAAATCAAACAAAATGTCTACACGATTTGAATCCGAAAACCAATGCTAATGTAAATGGTTTTATTGTTGTAATGGTAATGTAATGGTTTTTTATTGTTAACATTGATTAATATCACTAGCATCCCAGCAAACACCGATATATAATTGTTACATTGCTATAATAAAACGGAATATAACAGGTAATATAACGTGTACGTTACATGTAACATCCATGTTAGTTGTAATTTCCCACTCATTTTCTTTCTATTTCTTAATTATTTTATAAATATATATAATATGAAATGAATAGATATATACCCTAAAATAGACAAAATACCTTTCTTAAAGAATCCGATAGATCTAATCTAACTCAAATCTATTTTTTAGTTGATATCAATAACAACGCTTCAAAAACGTGAAAACTAAATATTGATTACAATGTCAAAGCTTTTTGATACTTTATTTAAACTTTAATTACTGACTTCATCATTTAAAAACTCATATATATTAATTAAATATATACCTATACAAAATTAGAAAATAATAAAATATATTAATTAAAATTAACAGCCAGAGAAGTTGTCATTATTTTGTTTGTATTATTTTATTTGCATTGACACAATGTACATGATATTTACATGTCACAATTTTTTACAATACATTATAAATTATAATAACAAAATATACTTTTTTGTCAATATATAATTGAGATATACAGGGTTTGTCCGTAAAGTAATGCGTCGCATTTTTTTGTGACGCGATATAATCGCAAATGGGACCGGTTGGGGAGGAAGGATAAATGTAACGAAAGATATAAATTATTTTGTTATTAGTACGGCTTATTCTGTGATCTTTATGGTCAGTCGAACTTGTGATGGAATAACGATAGAGCAACGCTATGCGAACTTTGGCGTGAAGCTACTGACGCATAAATATTTTATTTCTATTTTCTTAATTATTTTATAAATCAATCAATCTTTAGTAAATATAACTGAGATATCGGAAAAAGGTAGAAATAAATATCCTACATTCAGAAAACTCCTCCTACTGTATATATCCAATTGGAATAATTGTCGAATTAATGTCTTACGTAATATTGTATAATAAAATAAAGTTCACACATATAAGCTTTCATATTCATTTAAGTGGAAAAACATTGCTATCATCTTCCCAAGTAAGAATAATATACTATAATTCATATGTGAAACCGACCAATACTTTATTAATCTCTATTACAATTTTGTTTTTTTCTATATTCAAATTGTGTGAAATAATGAAATTGAAAGTGAAAAAACATGTAAATTTCTTTCAAGAGTTTATGAAAATAAATTAATTCTTTTATATAAAAATTAATCTTTTTATATACCAATAGTTAATAGTACTAAAATTTAATAGTACTAAAATATATTAAAAATATTATTTTTTATTATATTTAAATAATTACATATATGTATATAACTCTCTTAATTTAGTCTCCACATTTTCAAAAAAATAAAACATGTGACAATAAATCAAAGCTATACAACGTGTTTCATAATTCATGTTTATGAATTATATAACATTATTGAATAATGAAAAATCAAAAATTTTGAAATATTGTATTTAGTTGCATTTTTAATAAAGGAAAAATTATGATTAAAAATTTACAACACCAGCTCTATTTATTTTTACATAAACATACATCTGTAATAAAAGAAAGAAATGCCAACTTAAACGAGCTAATATTAATTCAGGATATCAAATAAAAGTTTATTATTACAAAATTGTAAAAGTTAAAATATTGATAAAGACGGTTGTGCAGTTGAAACGTATACAATTGTAATAATTTGTTTTATGTGGATCCTTTTGTAATAATAAACCTTTATGTCACATCCTGAATTAATATTAGCTCGTTTAAGTTGGCTTTTCTTTCTTTTATTTTTTTATCACGTTGATCTATACCAGCCTAATATTAGAAAAATTATAAATTTTGTATATATTTATAAGATGCGTTGGACAGAATATATAACACAAAAACTGTCAACCTCGCAGATAACAGATAAATGTCATTTAATAAACAATGCTGATGAAATAAATATTATTTCATAATTTTTCTCCTTAAGCTTCGCTGAAAAATATAATTCAAAATTGTTCGACTTATTTTTCATACACAAATTAAATAATTTAAATTTAAAAGGAAGCATTCTTTATAACAATTAATTTACAAATCAAAAAATTCTAATATTTACTACAAAGAATGATCCTTACGCAACACCGATTATATTTTTAAAGTGTAATAAGTAAGAATACGAAGAAAATAATATTTTTCGATATATTTTACGAGAAAAATATTTAATGATTTCTCATCTTTAATTTCATAATTCACGCTGCCATTAAAAGACCGCGATCTTTGAGTAATAAAATATATAAATTGAACAAAAATGTATATTGTTCATCATACTTTCCTTAAATATCACAGTTAAGTTAATAATCTTAACTTTTTTTTACGTTTAGTTATTTATTATTTTGACATTTATATAATAATCGTGATAATTTTAACAGAATCAATTCTCAAGTTTTACTCCATCACAATTGATGCTAGTATTTATAACAATGAAGTTTTGACCCCTTAACTGTGTTTTAATTCTCTCGATTTGGTCGTTTGTAAAGTTCGGTGGTAGCAGAATGTATGCATATTTAGGTCCAAAACCTGTAACCTTTGCTGCAAAACCCATACTTCGTGCAGTTGCAAAAATATTATTAAAAACATTATGTGTTAAATCATTTTCATTCAATAAATGTTGAATCCTTGCAATGCGACGCTGCAAATGAAGATATGAAAAATATTAGTTATAAAATAGAGATAATTACTGTACAGATGTACAATCTTGTCAAAACGCAGCAAGACTAAGGAATAAAAATATATATGTAGGTATATGTAAAATGTAAAAACACTGTTAGATAAAAGCAAAAAATGACACCTGTATATTATCATAAAATTCCTGTAAATTATCAAAACGTCGCTGTTCAGATAAATTGAACACATTTTGGACGGTAAGGCTTAATGTATTAAGCCAGGCAAATATATTATGTGCGAATTCATTCAATTGTTCTATTATATTATAAAACACGTGATGAGGCAATTCCAATTTCAGCAGTGCCATTTTTCTTGCTTGTATACACTTTTCCTGACGAATACCTGAATGAAAATAAAATTTTCACAGAAAAAGTACACGACAAGTACATAAAAAATTCGACATTATATGCAAATATCTATTTAAAATTTTTTTGTAAAATATAAAAATAAAATGTAAAATTATATTTATAGAATTGTGGAACTGAAGAATAAATATAAAGTCAAATTTAATCATATGCATTTTATCTGACGAATACCTGAATCGATCAGTAGAATTTTCATTCTTGCCAGATTATTCCCAAAATTCGTTTCAATACGTACATTATTGCATAATCGACTTTTTAATATTTTGCCATATACACAAACTTTAACATCGACCAATGTAAAGTCATAGTCTTGCACAAAGTCCTCGCAGAGCTGAGCGAAATATTTAACGTTCTCCAAAATTCAGTATTATTAAAATCAATATGATTTTCTGATTGTAGATTCTTCCAATGAAGAAAACATGCTGCGAGACATACCGTGAAAGATGTCGAACTCCCAAGACCGGCGCCGATTGGTATATCCGTGGATACACGCACGCGAAAAGGTGTTATGTCGAGGCTCTTGCTATTAGCGATAGAATAAAGCACGGTGAAGAATATTATTAAACTAAATCTCTGCTCGTCTGTCGCCCACATGCCGTTACAGGTAATCAAGGATTTCACATATTTAAGCATAAAAGTTGGATTAGATCTGTCGAAGAAATTTTCCGAAAAAAAACATAGAACATTGTTTAACGGTATATTAGTCTGTAGATTAATATCAGAGAAATCTATCTCAATTCTCTCATCAGTTGATAATATTTCGTAAAATTCAAGTTTGGTACGAATATCTATGCTGCTCGTGATAAGGTGTTTTTTGTACATCACCGAGTGCTCTCCGGCTAAGACGATTCTGCCAGGTGCGGAGATTCTAAAAGTAGCCATTTTTTATTTAATACAAATCTCCTTATTCACGAAACTGTGATGTATCGTTGAACAGTGAAGAGTTGATAATTAAAAGTGGTAAGGAATGACCACTGATAATAATTTAAATCGTTTGTTAGCGCACACGAGACCGTGGTTATATTTTTTCTGTACACTTTTGCGTATCAGTTGTGACTGATTTCGTCTCGAAACATATATAATAACATTACCCCAAAATCACGACTTAAACTACAATGTCAAATCTTTTCAATATTTTCACTTTTCATGATCTCAGTATTTATAAGGACATGATAGAACACGTATACGTGGTCTGTCACAAAAATAAAGAGTTTAAATATATGTTTTTTAAATTTAAATATGAGCTATAGTGTCAAATTTGTTCAATATTTCGATATTATTGAGAGAAGTCATTGGAAAACTTGTGTATATCTATTCAGAATCCGATAATAATATATTATTTCCACTATCATAAGCTAGTTCCCTTATTATTTCTGTAGGCATATTTCAAATAATATTTTATACTATAACTTTAAAATATTATAAACTAAAACGCGTATGTGTTGTGCACGCATATATATGTATATAATATATATATTAAATATAACAATATGTATAATACTTTAATTAAACTCACTTAAAATACATTAGAATCTGACAATCCTTTTGAGATATGTTGTGGCTGTCTCACAATTTCAATTTAATTTTAATTTTGACTTGTATATTTCTCACTAAAAATTGCTATTGATTATTGCTGTATAATGAGTTAATTATTTCTAAATTTACTTTCTCACTTGAAAAGGACCACAACTACACAAAACGTCGTGAAATTTAATAAACGATTATTACTTGCTAATTTGGCCGATTATTTCTACAACTCTTAATTAATTTGATTTTCTAACTGATTTTTTAACAATAATAGTTCTTTAAAGACATAAACCTATATATATATATATATATATATATATATATCAATCGTAAATTAAAATTTTTTGAATATATTTATTGATATTCTATTTGATATGCTTTAATCAAACTTTAATCAACATTTTAATACTGAAAATACACAATAATTGTAATTACACCAAATAAAAAATAATGAAATGTAAAATATTGAAGTTAACAAGACAAATACATACTGTTGTCAGTCAAATTCGGATACTTATATACATTTTAATCGGCAAAGTTTCCTAAACTTTAGTAAAGAAATTTATTCATTTCATAATATCACTTCATAATATCACTCGAGTTTAAACGCGTTAATAACATGGAAAGATAAAATTTATTTTTGAATAAAGGATTTGGCAATTTAAGACTAATACTTTGATGAAAACAACAACAGAAAACTAGTTTGTCCTAAAGGGAATAATAGTTACACTCTACAAATTTTTAACAATACAAATTAGCAACTGCAGAATTAGGGATTAATTAAATGAAAAACTCGGATAAGAATATTCTTACGTAGAATGCAGATTTGTCATTTCTTGCGCTCGTTCTACCATATCTTGATGAGTAATTGATGCAATTACTAGAATATCTATTTCTGGTTTTATTTTAGATTTATGATGATTCTAGAAAAAAATTGGATAATCTACAAGTTGGAATATTCTATTTATTCGTATATGCAAATTTCAGCATTAATCGCTAGAAACACATATACTTGCACATAATTTTCTCACATGATTCAGCATGAGTATATCTTTCTTTATAGCAGAACACGAGAGAAATCTATAACAATATTATTAATAATACTGTTATAGATTTCTCTCGTGTTAAGTTGAAGAAAGATATGCTTATACTGAATCTTGCGAGGAAATTATGCAAAAATGTTGCGTAACACGTATCGAAAAAAATGATTGGAATTGATCGAACCTCAGAGAAATATATGTATTAGAAAAAAAGTTTTCAATATTTCGTATATGTTTTTTTAGATTAATACAAGGGAAATCTATAATAATTAATAAAATATTGTTAATATTATTTATTAATAATAATTATTATTATCAATTATTTATATTATTATTAATTTTTCACAAATTTGATCAAATCCAATCCATTTTTTCGATGATTTTTCAATTATTTCTGTCACATATATTCTAACTAAGGTGGTTCGCAGAATTCGAGATTGGGGTGAAAATTCAGGCCATTTACAATACTTTTTCCATACGTCATCGAATGCTCTCCGAATAAACCGATTCTGTCTGGTGCAAAAATTTTAAAATTAATCAACTTTTCATTCATCTTTATAAAAATATTAACGTTGAATGGTAGAGAGTTGATAATTAAATTTGCGTAGCTGCTACAAACGCATTATTTATTGGAATCAATTATATAAAATATCAATTATATATAAAATAATATCAATTATATATCAAATATAATCAATTATATATAAAATATATTCTCGTGTCGCGAGGAAGATTTTGTCCTTTTTATTCTAAATAAATGTGAGACATGCATACTTAATATATCAGATATATGTGACAAAAATGACACGATAAATAAAGGTTGGTAATAAGAATTTGAAACATCCGTTATCGAACACAGACAGTGTTTACATTTCTTTTACACTTTCTCGTCTCAATCGTGACTGAGTTCGTTTCGAAATATATAATAACATTATCCGAAAATCAAGATGTCCTGAGCCTGACCCTAAATTAATGATTGGGTCTTCTCGAGAAATATTGGTATCTCGCGATGCTTTCTTTCATTGGTATTTTAATATTAACGGAAACATACATATTTGGAAATCACTATTTTAGAAAAAATGTGTCAGCTAAAAATAATAAATTTTGAATGGAATAATATTATTGCAAGCTAAAATTTTTCTTGGACCTTTGAGCTGTTTGGTTGTTTAATAGTTTAACTCTTTTTTTAAATAAAAGGCTAATTTTTTATGTAAACCGATTTCTCGTAATATTCTCGGTATAAAAAATTATAAAGATAGAATGGTTGTAAGGTGAATAGTTTGCGAGATGTTTCATATATTTTATTTATATACTTTAATTTGATATAATTTTACATAACACAATATTATATGAAATATTTCGCAAAAATATTCATTTTTTGATGATTTCACAACATGCTTTTGCACATTTTTATATTTTAATACAAATAATGGGAAAAATCAATTGGTGTAAAAAAATGTGCAGATGTTTTTAAGGAAAAGTATGTAATTTGCAACTAACAGCTATATACAATTTGTCTTTGTAATTTCAAATATTTTGTCTGTTAGTTGAGAAGATTAATTAATCATCCTGTATAATATATTAATATGGATTTTGTTCCCTAAAGTTCGCGGTCTTTTAATAACATCGTTTTGAGTTATAAGTGAGAAATTATTCAATGTATTTTTCTTAAAAAATATTGAAAAGTATTAGTGTTTCTTTGTATCCTATTTTATTAAACTTCAAAAATATAAGAGGTTTTACGTCGGGATCATGCGCTGTAATAAATAATATATAGAAGACTTTTTCGATTTGTTAATTAAATGGTAATAAGAGAACACAATTTGTGAGTTAAAAATGAATCGATCAGTTTTGAATTATATTTTTCTGCGAAACTTAAGAAGAAAATTTATGAAATAAAATTTATTTAATCAGCATTATTCATCATTAAATCGATATTTACTACTAGCTGTAAAGTTGAGTTTTTATATTACATATACTATTCGGTGCATCTTATGCATGGACGTACGTTCATATAAAGATCAGATTAATTGGAGTAGATTTTTATGTAATAATTTAATAAAAGTTACTTGTTCTTTGTGAAGCAGCCCAGGAAACAATATTTAAAAATTTTAGTTTTTTATTATTTAATAATGCTAAATATAATTCATGAACATGTGAATTATGAAGCAGTTGTATATCTGATTTATTACATGTTCTATTTTTAGAAAATTAAATTAAATAAGTTATCTACATATATGCAATTATTTAATATAATAAATAATAATATGTTTGATAAATAAATTTAATTAATTGTTCATTCATTCGTATAAAAATATCTATTTTTCTTAGAAATGATATAACGTTGAATGGTATAGAGGGTTGATAATTGAATTTGCGTAGCTTTTACAAACACATTTGCTAGAATCAATATATAAAAATATATATCTTTTGTCGTTTTCGTTTTGTAAAAAATGTTTCATCGGTTATACATATATTACAAAATACATATGTACAAACTAAATATTTAAACAAATGTATTATACTTACATTCTCTTGATATGTTCTTGTTTTTCCAATCAATAGATTAATGTGTTGACCTTTTCTTTCAAAGCACTTCACGTATGTCTTTATACACACATTGTTAACTATTAAATCTATGCAACGTACACTGT